ATATATATATATATTTTTTTTTAAACAAACTCAACAATAATCCATATGTTCTCCTTCTATCAGGGAAGGGAGGTGTTTCATCTCTTGAAAGTCAGTACATCTAGACTGGTTACCTAATTGTCATGTAAAGAATGCTTCCCTTGTCTTTCTTTTGTATATTCAAACTGGAAATTGCCAGTTTTATGAATCGCAATGTTTTCATTGATCACATCCCAGCTTAATCTCTCCCCATAACATCTCTCTCCCATCTCTAGCTTGATAAATACATTAATTTTACAAGTGTTTTCTAAGATTGAAAAGGAAAGACAAAAACATAAACAAGTGAGGAGGTTTCAGACCTCACATAGAAAATACATATTATTTAGCAATTCAATATAATTCAGTTCAATGTATGTGTCAACAATATTAGAACAATGGGTGTAGGCTCATCATATTAAGTACCTGAACACTGAGAGTTTTTTGGATAGCGGATTGTAGGAATTGTGCAGTATAAAAACAGGTTAGTATGTGGGATTGCAGTAAACATTAGTGAGAATTCTGCCATCATTAAAGATGAAGGATATGTCAAAAAAGTGTACTGAAGTGTCAGCCTTTTGTTCTAATTTTAAAAGGAGACCATATGGATTATCATTAGAAAAAAATTGAAAACCAGTTTCTTGAGCCATAAAATCAATGACAATAGGTGTTCACATGATTCCAATTGAGGACCAGCATTTTGACATGAATCTACTGTATGTGGGAGCTATCAGATGTATTTTAGCACATAGAATTACAGAGCATAAATACACTGTTGAAAAGCATCTCAACATCATTCTTATGCTGCCAAACGAGATGTAAGGATAAAATGGGAAGAGGCCAGAATCATTAGACTTAGAAACCCTAATACTATTAAGTTCCTAGAAACGTTAGAAAGTTTTAAAGCACACCAAAAACTATTTTGTATCAATCATAGGGATGCTGACACCTTGCCTATGGCATGGAAGTCCATTTATAAAATGTAATTTGGGACTTGGTCATCTTATAATTGTTTTTGTTTATATTAATTTCTATTTTTATCACTTTCATATCATTTTGTTTATTTGTATGTTTAATTAATTAGTTAATTTTAATTTCTATGCAAGCACTTTCTTTAGAACACTTTTTAACTTTTAAATTATCCTGTTGCATTCAATATACATAAGTTTATTCATTTTATTTTATTTTTACTTCACTGAGGTAAGTCTATGATATATTAGATTGAAAACGTTTTGATTTATTAAATTTATTGCTGGAGTTACAAGGTGCTCTGTTTATTCTATAAGATTAAAATTTTCAATGTAAGAATTAATTGTTATAAAAGTATGTATTGAAATAATCTTAAATATTATAGTTTATCTCAAATAATATCTCAAACACTCAAAACTTGTGCAGTCTTTTCAAATGCTTTAGTACAGTATTTCAAGCTTTATCTCAATACTTACAGCTTTTCTTTTTCAATCACAACTTAGATTCCTATCATCAGGATGTTTGCTCATGTTTGGTATGCTGTATTAAGTAATTTCATCAACAAAAGTATACAAATTCAGTAGAACACTGTGATACAAACTCTTAGNGTCTATATCCGGATCGAGTCCTGACCTCCTTTGTCCGTTTGGTCCCTCGTCTTCCCTTCCGCCGTCCAGAAATCACACAGAAGCAAGCCAAACTCTCTTCCTTCCTCTCAGGTCGCTCTTTTTATAACTTCCTATAAGCTCCTCCCTTCACCTCCACGTGGTCACCAAATGGGCCAATCAAAGCACCGACAAAATCCACCATAAGGTGGCGCGCGATACAAAACTTTGAAAAGAACAAACAAAGAACCCGAACAAAGGTGTGACAACACGCAGAATATAAAAAATATAAAAAATAATACACGTGCCTAGCACTACAAGTATTTCAAGCTTTATCTCAATACTTACAGCTTTTCTTTTTCAATCACAACTTAGATTCCTATCATCAGGATGTTTGCTCATGTTTGGTATGCTGTATTAAGTAATTTCATCAACAAAAGTATACAAATTCAGTAGAACAGTGTGATACAAACTCTTAGAATAACACATGTAGGTAAATTGGAGCAGAGAGAAAATGAGATGTGTGTTTTGTGTATTCCTCTATACACAACAACATTAAACTGGATTGTGTTTTTCACATACACATATTATTCAGTATTGCAAAGTATAGTCATCTTGTAAAAAACTGGCATGAGCAATCATAATTCTGTATTTTTGGAATTTTATTCCCTCTGTTTATCTATTGCATATGAATAAATTTGCAGATTGTGTGAGGACCCAACCAAGATCCAAAATCATGTAAATCGCGATATTCTTATGATTAAATAACAATGATAGATTAAATATGAGAAGGAGAGGAAAATCCCGTGATTTAAACAACGCAGCACAAAATGTAAACGAGTCCCGGATGACTCCAACACATGTTAAGTGAACTGTCAATGTCAAAATGATAAGTTATAAGTCAGACACAAGTGATCATACAGGTAGAACTTTGACCCAAGTGATCATAAACAATCAATCTAGGAAAACAATTTTGGAAAAGAGAGAAAGATTTAAGAGAGATAAACCATTGCATATAATCATAAGAGTACCCAGATGACAAAAACCGCGAGTAATGGAGCTAAATTATGAGTGCGAGTCTTGCAATTTTGTTAACAATCCCCAAGAACAATTGACAGAAAGGCGTCAGACCTTTCTGTCAATTGTTCTTGTCGGGTCAGACCTGGAATCAGACCTTTTCCGTGACCCAAGTTGGTCTCGGTTTTCCCCAAAACAAAAGAGAGACCAATCGAGAAGCGAGGAAGGGGACGAGGGGCCAATCAGAAGTCCAAATAGTGGGAGAAAAAACTATAAAAATCCGAAATTCAAGGTCAGAGAGAAGCTCTCCTTTGTATTCCATGAAAGGTTGTGACTTATATTGTGGTGTGTCGTCGCCAAGAACTTTGGACTCCGTTGCTTCCTTCTTCCAATCGTCTGCCTTGCTCAGCGACCTCATCTCGTCCTCCCTGGGGCCAGACAGATGCCGAAGTTCTCGCCTCTCCGCATCTTTGACAAGAAGAACCTAGTGAAGGACTGTCGATTGTCAATGTAAGCATAAATGTTAACAAATAAACNTGATGTTCTGCGATACGGCAAGCGAGCATTCTTGTCATTGCCCCTATATACTTCTCAATTGTCCCCGTTACTGGATTTTCCAGTTGCACTGCATATATTCCCGATTTTTCTAAAATGTCAACTTTATCCCGATTATTGCATATACTCCTGTGTAGGCTGGGTAGGGGAGTTAAAGGAAGAGTAAAGCTGTATCGCCGGAAAATACGGCTAATAAGTATGGACAGTGCTCCTAGGTACGGCAGCGCTGATTGTACTCTAGACATTTCTTTTTTGCTATGTAGTGTGGTAAACGGAAAAAGGGAATCTTTTACCCTACGTAGTACATGCGTAAATTTGGCACTTGTGACTTTTACGGTTCAACAAGTGCTAGACATTCGTGAAGCGTTGATCTTCATCACTGAAAACAACTATTTCTGCTTCAACCAGAAAATCTATTTACAGAAGCAAGGAGTTCCCATGGGCTCTCCCCTCTCAGCAGTATTAGCCGAGATCATTATGAGGGACGTGGAACAAAAAACTTTCCAAGCTCCACTTGCTATGTGCTATCCATCACTATATTTGCGCTATGTAGATGACATTCTACTAATATGGGAAAATTCAGAAGAGGAGTTTATCCAATTTATGCAGCAACTTTCAGCATCCATTCCACCATCAATTTCACATGGGAAAAGGAGCAGGATCAATTTATAACATTTTTGGATATGCGGATACAAAAGTCACTGGAAGGGCCGCAATTTACAGTGCATCATAAGTCCAACATAGTCTCCTATATCATTCCAGCTGATGCATTTCAACCATCATGGTATGTCAATGCCGTCATAGCGGCTCTCATCAGAAGAGCGATGCTACTTCCTTCATCTCAAGCTCTAGTAAAAGTCGAATTGGAAATCGTAAGAACAGCAGTACATCACGCTGGATTCACAAGTGCCAAATTTACGCATGTACTACGTAGGGTAAAAGATTCCTTTTTTCTGTTTACCACACTACATAGCAAAAAAGAAATGTCTAGAGTACAATCAGCGCTGCCGTACCTAGGAGCACCGTCCATACTTATTAGCCGTATTTTCCGGCGATACAGCTTTACTCTTCCTTTAACTCCCCTACCCAGCTTACACAGGAGTATATGCAATGATCGGGATAAAGTTGACATTTTAGAAAAATCGGGAATATACGCAGTGCAACTGGAAAATCCAGTAACGGGGACAATTGAGAAGTATATAGGGGCAACGACAAGAATGCTCGCTTGCCGTATCGCAGAACATCAGGATGATATAAACAAAGGAAGACAGACCACAGAGCTCGCCAGAAAAGNAATAACTAATTTACAACTAATTTTAAATTATTACTTTACCTTGGGTTATAATACCAGTTAAAGTAGAAGGTTTAACAAAATCAATTTGTGCATAAGGATGCTCATCTTCCATGCCTGGAACCCAACCACCAGTTTTTCCATTTTCTGTAATGGTATTTAGTCGCAAACGTGATGCACCACTGTTTACAACTGCTGATGATACATATAGCAAATGATCTGGTAAGAGTTTGTCTCTTAAACCCATTGGTTCTCTGCATGTTGAATAAGGTTCAACTAAAACAAGACAATTTAAAATTAAACTTCTGTTCATCTATTTATTTTAGGATAAAATAATTCTTGACATAATTAATATTTTTTACACGTGCATTTAAATTAAGTCTCAATTTTATAAAAAATCATTGTAAAACATTTCATTATCAACAGCAATTATTATTATTGTTGTTGTTGTTGTTATGATGTAAATATGATAATTGACTGTTACTAGTATCAATTTTTAAGTTTGATTAAAATCAAGACTTAGTTACTAAAAACTGCATGCCATGTGTATCTGTTTTAAAAAGTTTTTGACTCTGTAATATGTTGCATTTGTGAGAGTTTGGAATGTACAAGACAAAGTATTCCAACAAATTCCAATAAACGAACAGTTTATTACAACCAGAATTAACAACCAAAATACTGATGCCCATCAGAGACAAAATACATAGATCTATACAATCGGTCTCTGCTCTCGTTCAGGTTCTCACAGGGAGTTATTCTCGCGTGATCGTATTCTAAATACTAACTTATAACTAACTTATAACTAACTTAACCTAATACTACACTAATAAGAGAAAAAGGAAGAAAGAAGGAGAAGAAGTCTACCGGTAGTTAGCACAGGGGTTCTGATCGGGCTGGTCGATGGCTATGGGGATTTTATCAGTCGACATCGGATTGTACACCATTTCTCGTATGGTAATCTTCACTGGGATTAAAGTATAGACTAGGCTCTCATCGGACAAGTCCCTGGTCCTTTTCTGGACTCCTTTTCACTTGGTCCTCTCGGCCTTTTTCTTTGTTGACGAGTTCTGACGAACGATACCCACGATTCGTCCAACACCTCTTCTCTCGGTGTCCAAAACCAAACTGTCCTTTCTTCTCACCCCTTTGTCTACTCTTACCAACCCCATGGGCAAGACCCCTCCCTGTCCTTGTTGGCAAAACCACCAATCAGGCCCCACGAAGTTCCTGCTTCTGTCGGGTGACCGGAAATAGTTATTAGTGGAAAGAAGAAGAAGGAAAGGAAAGAACAAAGGAATTCTAAATATAAATACTATAGCTATTTGTACAAAATGGCGGACAGCCACATATACACATATACAAAATGGCGGACAGCCACACATTTAATAGTGCTTTGATGTATTTCTTAAAATATAATGTTTCTAGAATTTTATGTAGTGTATATGGTATAACATCTATGAAACAGAAGACTACAAGAACAATAACTATATTATCCATTTTCCACACATAATTTATTTCTTGCCTCATTCTATATAATTATTGATTTTACCATTGTAAATATTTTGAATATTGTAGATATATCTATGACATATGCATCTTAAAATATTCACAATATTTAAAATATAAATGATTTTAATTTTGATGAAAAAAAAAACGTTTTAATTCACTCTTCTCAAACTGCACTTACTAAAAAATAACTATCCTTTACTAACCTTTAACATGCAGTCTATTTTATTAACATAATCTAATTTAATTGAAAATCTTGTTTTATTTATTTGTCGAAACCATGTCTTCTTCTTCTTGTTTTGTTTGGTTCATTGTTACGACTTGGTGAATTTATTGATACTTGGCAAATAATTTCATCATCAACTTTTAATCCATATAGATATGTGTTTCAGGCTTTCTCCCCTCTTCAGTCTGTTATATAGATAGGTTGTATCTTGTGTACGTCTGTCAGACACCTTCCGCACTACATCTTCCCTCTCCCCTTCCCTTCCCTGCTAACTTGATGACCTCACCCACATGCCTCGCAACGTGCAACATCTCACTCCCAGAGTGCCACACACAGCCTCGCCTGCGACTGTATAAACATTCTATTTTTAATAGTTGTAACCAATTTTTATGAATTTCAATGCTTAGATTCTTGTTAATGTTATTTTTATCTGTAATAATTTCATAGCTTTCCTTAAATTTTCTTTTGTACCAATTTTTTTCCCTGTGTACTATTATAATGTCATTCTTATCTATTTTGCAGTTATGAGTTGTACGATGTTCGTAAAAACAGAGTTGATTCTATTATATTTCAAATCCGCGATGTGTTCTTTTAATCCTGTTTCTAATTTTTGTTTTGTTTCTCCAATGTATGCTTTTGATGGTTTGCATGTGCAAGGTATTTTATAAATGACTTCAGTAGTATTGTTTTTATCTGGTTGTTTATTTATGCCAGGCTTAGCCTTCCGGATTCTTTTTTGCAAGTTCTTTTAAGTTGGAGCTAGTTTTATATTTATTTTATCGAAACTTTTATTTATCTGTTCAAAGAAACCATGAATGTAAGGGAAGGATATATATCTTACTCTGTTTATTTTTCAGCCTTTTATTGTTGATTTTACTTTCCCAGTTATTTATTATTTGTTGTGGATAGCCATTTAATAGGACTTTAGCCCGAAATGCGTATCTATATGGATTAAAAGTTGATAATGAAATTATTTGCCAAGTGTCAATAAATTCATCAAGTCGTTGATTGAAAATGTTAGATTACATTAATAAAATAGACTGCAAAAAGATTAAAGGTTAGTAAAGGGTAGTTACATTTTAATTCAGTTAAAACAAGCCAAATAATATATGTATAAGTACTTTTAAACTGACTGCACATCTTCAGACACAAGAACATTCTATAGAAATAGATAAATAAAACTCACGCCAAAATTGTATAGCTTCTTGATAAAAAGCACTGAGTTCAGCGTTAATACGAATTTTTCTTATATCGCAAGTACTTTTGACGAGTATTATATCGTCGTCCTCAGGCAAAAAAGAACAAATTTGAAAATTAGAACGTGCAGAGTGTTCCAAGTAGAAAACGGAAAATTTTTCTTTTTAATTTCTAAATTACAACGTTCGGTAATTCCGTTGGGCACGTGCAACAAGCTTTTTCGGGCGTTCAAAATATCTTAAATCCACACGACTAGCAGCGCATGCGTTGAGGAGCGATCGCACTAATTATGTGACTCTTGGCGCTTTTTGCTGTTTAAACGCTGGTATAAAGTGACCCATATTTCGGGCAAGTCGAGTGTGGGGACATTGCATGTGTCTGTGGTCATTGTAAGGAGCGTTTCCCAAATAAATGTAATTCTTCTGTTGTTACAGCTCCTGAGCAACGCTGTTTTTGACCATAATGGGTTATAGCCCTGCTGTAGAACTTTTCTGGCGAGCTCTGTGGTCTGTCTTCCTTTGTTTATATCCTCCTGATGTTCTGCGATACGGCAAGCGAGCATTCTTGTCGTTGCCCCTATATACTTCTCAATTGTCCCCGTTATTGGATTTTCCAGTTGCACTGCGTATATTCCCGATTTTTCTAAAACGTCGACTNTCAAAAGTACTTGCGATATAAGAAAAATTCGTATTAACGCTGAACTCAGTGCTTTTTATCAAGAAGCTAAAAGAACATTCTAAATGGAATACAACAAAGAAAAGTGTTACTATGGTAATTGGAATCAAATGAAAACAAATGTTCTGCAGATAAAATGTATATCTTGCATTGAATATAAAATAGTATTTAACATAAAAAAAATAATAAGTGAAAATAAAATTTATATTGTTCAAAGTATTAATACTTCAAAGCCCAAAGTCTTCATAACTTTAATACATTGAACCTTAGATATATGTTCTAGCTGGGATCTTTTGAGCAAAGAATTGTTGTATATGTTTGGAGACCTTAGTCTCCAAACATAATCTGAGTATCCATTCTTTTTTGAGAATACTGTAAAAAATCTGAAATAAAAAGAATGCAATGCCTGAAGTCATCACTCTATCATTTACAAGACTTCCTCTACACTATACAAAAGATCTGTCCATGAAACTCCTTAAGAGAACAATACAGAAAATAAACAGTTCAATAGCAATTATAAGGAAAGAAATGTTTTTACAGATGATCAGGATGGTAAGTTTAGAAAGAAACTCAATGAAAGTCAAATAATAAATTTTAGAGAAAATATTTTGCATTTCTATATTTGAAAATATGTGTAATGAATTATTGTGTAACACTGAAATTACTTATAAACAAACAATTGTAAATTATAGTTAAATTATAAAATGCATAAGAACAGATTATAATTTACCAGTTGTCACTTTATTAGAAAGCACAGATTCTCCAATTGTTGTTGGCATTACACTTACTAGAAAACAAAAATTTATACTATTATGTCATCAAAAATTATTATTATATTTTCTATATTCTAATTTTAAAATTTTATTAAGAAAATTGTCTAGAATAAAATAACCAAAATAAAAATTCATATTTTTATACTTACAATATAATTTACTGTTTTCAAATTATAAACATATAAATAATGTTAATTCTGTGATTTTGTTAACAGCAATAGTATAACTATTGCTGTTAACAAAATCACTTTTTAAACATTTTGCTAATATATCATTTAAGAAAATTATTATACATGTACCTATTAAAATCTAAACAGTTTTACTGTAATAAAGAAAATTCACATTTGCATACACGTAAGTACTTTTGACATTTCGAAATGTCATGTCGTTATTTGAAGATAACATTTTAAAACTTTTATATATTTAATTACTCAAGTAAATAAATTTAACACCAAAAGTCAGTACATTTTCCTCTCATATACTATATTTGGCATAGTAAGTGAGTGTTTATATATATTTTTTCTGATTTAAGTCCGATTTAAGTGTTGTAGGGCCCAAGACAAACTCCAGTGGTGGGTCCTAAAATGGGAGTCTGCTGGTCTGTCCCCAGCAGATCTGCAGAAGATGAAGGGTTTATTAAATTAAAGTCATTGCAAGTAACTTTATTCATTTTGTAATAGTGCTCAAATACAGACATTGTGACATTTGAACTGCAAAAATTTTATTTTCAACTGAACATTGTGTTTTATTACATTCTTGCATACAAAACACAATGAGTTAGTCACTCATTGTGTCTTATTTTCACTGCCAGGCATAGCCACAATTGTTATCAATCATTTTGCAATACTAAACCAGAATGAATGCTAGCAATATTACCACCCCTTCCTTGTCAATGATCACAAAAGCAAAATTGCCTACTTGATGGTTTTTCAAACTGTGATCCTCAAATTCTATCTCTCAAAAAGATAAAATTCTAGTAATTCATTTTAGAAAAGTAATATAAAAACAGTGAAAAATAATTACTACATTTATTCAAATGTTTTTTCATAATTCTTAAAAAAAGTTTTATTTTTCTTGTTAGAGGTAAAAAAAAACTAGGCCTTTGGAAGTACACAGTGCAGCTTCTGAAAAGATGTAATTAGAAGAGCAAAACTGTAATGTAAGTTAACATATTATGTGAATAAAATGTATACATATTTATTAGTAAGCCTTAATTCATGTTTATATTACCCATTTAACAAGACTGCTATTTTACAGACATATAAATTATTACCTTCATATATTTATAGCATGCAAGACAAAGGCTATGGTAACTAATTTGCAGATGACAATGACTACTTTTGACAAATTATTTGTAACTTCTTTTTTGTAATTTGTCCCTCAGAGTGCTGGAGCCCTAAAGCAATTGCCTTACATATCTTTCTGTAATCAAGCTTACACATATGTAATTCTTCAAACTATCTTATCTATTATTTCTTCTTTGATAATCATTTAAAAGTCTTTCAAAAGAAAACATTCTGACATTTGAAGCGAAAATTGTATAAACTTCCCAAAACCAAATAATAATTTATCTAGTAGCATTAAAATAATTAAAATACATTATTTTACAGATAAGCAAAAACTATCTGTCAATAATTAAATATTTGAATATTAGAAAGCATTTGAGATTTGATATCACAAATATTATGTGGGGGCCCACCAGTGGCCAAGCAGTTCCATTCACTGAACACTGAGAGTTCAGTCGTGGGTTTGCATCTTGCCAGGATGGGCTGGCCACATGGAGTTTTCTGGGTTTTCTCCACATCTGTAACACTTGCATAGGGGCCAGTTATCCTTAAAATGACCTCCTAGAAGGTATCCCCAGGCAGGTTGCCCAAGTGTTGCATTGCTGTAACTTAACAAAACAAACAAACATGTAAATAAAAAATAAATTTGAATGCTACAAATATCTCCAATATTATGCCACATTCACAGTGGCAAATCCAGAAGTACCCAAAGGAAGGCCAACTCAAAAATGAGAAATATTTGAATAATTAACAAGGATTTTTTATTAACATATGCACAACAATTGTACTGGAGACGGTCCAATAAACCATATTTTCAATATCATAAATGCTTTTAAAGACAACATTTTGAACTTCAAACAAATAAATTTTTTTTTTCTGTGTTAATGGTATTCCATGGTATGTACAGTACTACTGCATACAGTGTCTCTTCAACCCCTCTAGTTTAATTTGTGCTGTGGGTACTTATTGATGAAAAGTATATGTTGGAGATACAGTGAATTAGGTTTTTATTTAATACTAATTGTTTTTGATATTTTAAAAACTGAAAAAGATATAATATTAATGCTACATATACAGCTTTTAATCTTTTAAATAAATAATTAATTATTTATTTAAAAGATTAAATAAATTTGGTTAATAAATTTAACATTCCTAATAATATCTGTTACTAGTATTTTTATAAAACTGTTTAAAATACTTTCACAGATAAACAACAACATTGTTTGAAATTATAAAATTCAATAAAACTTAGCATCATAATGTAACAAGTATATGAACAAAATTGCCACTTTAACATTAATTAAAACTATAATTTAAAAAATAAAATGTTTTTAGTCTAAATTTAGTCTATCTTCAGTATTAAACAAATTTTTAGATGTTCTATTGCATTGAAAAATTTGTTGAGCACTGGATAGTTTAGATTTAAACAAAAAACAGTTAAGTTTTTAAATATAAAATTATATTTAAAACAAATAAAGTATTTTTGAATTTTTGAGAGATAACTGAATAGTTACCTATATATTATGAACCGAGTAAAATGTCTATAAATACACACATTTTATTACATTAATATATAATTGCAAATATCAGTTCATAAATCTTTCCAATCTTTACACCAATAATATATGTAGAAACAATCTAAATAGCAAAATGTGCCAATTAAATTTATCTCTCAATCAAACAACAAACACATTGCATAGCTATTTATGCCCTAAGGAAGACAATTTATCAACCTTAGATGGTACATTTATTCCTTGTTGCAACTTGAGGCATCTCTGGACAATATTTGGATGGAAGTTGTTATTTAAAGATCCACTTTATCTTATTTATATATCTTATTCTATTTTTTGATCTCTATGTTTTGAGCATCTATTGTTTAAAATTCTTGATTGCCTGTGGAAGAACCTTTCTCACCTGGATTATACACAGTCCGTGTCGTTGACCCCAAAATTGGACATACCTTAGGGATCTCACATCAGAATCAAAGAGCATGAATACAGCATCCAAAAAATTTCCAACACGATGCTCATGGCCTTTGCAGATGATGACATATTTGTGTTTACTATCTTTATAATAATGTATGCATCAAATTTGATTGAGCACAATTGCCATATTGTACAACAGACCCTCTGCACTAAAGTATTTAGCATCTTTAGAAATATACAAAGCAAGCAAGAACTGGAAGCTGGTTAATTTTAAAGACTCTGATTCCCTCTCAACAGCATGGAGGATATAGTTTGAGCTTTCATAGTTCATGCTTTTAATCTATATCACTTTTATAATATTTACACCTTATCCTTGTTAAAAAATATTATAATTTTACATTTTATATTGTAAAGTACTATATTATTTTTCCGACTTTCCAACGATTATCGACACTACTGTGTGCCGGAAATAGCCATTCCCTAACGGGTACTTTACGCGTATTCGCGTTAGTGTGCCAGGCCTGGACTTTAAGCGTGCACCGAATTAAATAATGACAAAGTTTGTCAATAACAAAATCAAATATTTAATTAAACTTCTATTAATAAACTCTATACAGTATTTAGTAAAAATCAAACAATAATTTATTCAATGAAATTCAACAAGAATCAATCCGACAAACTCAAATCAATCTATTTCTAACTTAATTCTATTCCCCTTTGGAATTCGACAAAATCAAAGAATTAACTTATAAACAATAATTCTTATAAATTAAAGATCCTAATCGTCACCTCAATATACTAGGAACCTATTTCCTCAAACTCTCAAGACTTTCTATAATCGTCGATCCACAAATCGAATAACTTCAAAATCCTATCGGACACCTCTCTCTCGTTCACTGCTATAAGCTCGTTGCTATCAGGAATTCACCTCGTTCGTTTTCACTTGAGTTAGAGGCTTTATAGTGTGAGGTGACGTCACAATTCTGAATGAGCTCACTCTCCTCATTTACATACTTATCTGTAACATTAAATTTTTCTTGTTTATCTGGCAGATTATTTTCCGACAATACTTCGCTAACCTTTTACATTATTCTTTTTAACAATTATCGGGATGCTTTATTATTTTAAGGTTTAGCGATTCCTAACTGGGTTGTGGGGTCTTCCCCCCCCTTTTTCTCGGTGCGGACTTACTTTTTCCGCTTGGGAAGCGCAAGTGTGCGCGAGTTTTTCTACGGCGCTTTTCTTTCGTCGGTGAGTTGGTTTTTCTTCTATTTTTAAGTTACTAAGGTGAATGGTGAGGAAACCTTCGTCCTAACAAAACATAAGCCCCAAAAAAAAATAGAATAATAAGCAAAATAAAGTAAATAAAAATAACATTCGGACTTGGTTCCTTACACCATTATGAGTTGACATTTTTCTAATAACTGTGCTATTGTACTACTGGTCATGTGCAAGCTTCTAATGTCTGGAAGCTTTCCATTTTTGAACTTGTTTGATGATGTTCTATTCTGTATTCTATGTTCCTTGTAATTTATCTGAAGATGTCAGTTTTAAACAGACTAAAACATTCATATTAGTAAACCTTGTTATAATATTGGACTGGTATTGGTGTTTGAGTAAGTTTTTTTGAAAAGTTAATAACAAATGCAGAAGAAAAATTAAAAGATGCAAAAATTACACTTACAATGTTGAGAAATAGTTTCTTAAGAGTAGCAGAGAAGCTAACTTACTAATAGCCACAAATTGTCATCCTGCTATAAACAAACGAAAAGAAGGAAATGACTTGAAGCCATGGGTGTGGATGCTTAAGATTGACAAAGAGCCTTAATAACTGATAGACAAATGTTAAAATTTTTATTACTTTTGAGTATTTTATTAAAACTAGAGCAGGAAAGCAACTATAAAGACATTGACATTACGTTTAAAAATTGACATGTTCACACCAGTATAAATAGAAAGCCAGCATTTTGTTTCCTGAACAGTATATTCCTGCTAACTCATACAATCCCATAGGAATAAACTATCAGTCTTTAGAATTCTCATCAAACAAGCATATTTATTCAAACTGCTTAAGTATTAAGGATTAATTAAAATGGATAAAATATATCAATTATATTGCCAAAGAGCATAGTTATCCAGGTAAACTTATCAACAATAATATCAGCAAGCATTCAATACCAAGGCATAGAATACACACAATAGTCATGTTCTATAATGTGAAATATAATAAAAATATGCACAGCATGGCATTTACCAGCATGCTACCAAATAAAAGAAAAGTTTGTATGATCTGCAATATAAACTCCTCTATCTATAACTTATTACAAAATGATGCACCCTACAAGAACACCATAAGTCAGTGTCTATCATGATAGATTCTGGCCAGACACAACTGATTTAGCATTCACACAACTTATTGACTGCTTGGAACAAGTCTAAAAAAGCATAAATATGGTATATGCACTAAGAGAGCTACAATAGCACTAATGGCCTTTGCTTCAAGGGATGGTAATGCAGTGCAATGGAAGTAAGCCAGAATTATAAGACTGATTAGAGAGACAAAACTGGTGAAATTCACTAAAGTACTTGAAACATTACAAGGCCACACAGTGAATGCTTCAGAGGGATTCATCATCTGTTTCTACTGCCCATAAGTTTTTTTAAATGTTTATTACACTCTATTTAATGTAATCATATTGTATGGCATGTATTATACATTTGTAGTTTTGGTTTGTTTAATATTTTCTTGTTTACTATGAGATAGAACATTTCATTTTTATGTTAATATATGTCTGTTGTCATTTTGTCAATATAGACACTTTGCAATGTATTCAAGTTTTTATTTTATTTTATTTTTTGTTGTTTGTCTGTTATGTTGTATGCATTCTTTTAAATTGATTAGAATGCCCTACAGTTAAAACATTTTCAAACACCAGCATTCCTTCATTTGATTTAAGTTTAAACCTGATGAAGAGATATAAAGTAACTCAAAAATGTTAGTTTGAAAAATATAATCTGTGTTAGATATTAAAAGGTTGTATAATTCATTGCAGATAAAATATAAAATCATAATTACTAGAACAATCAAGTTGCTCTATATTAGAATCATTCATAGCTGAAATTGAAACCTATTGATTTCAATAGGCAAAACTGAAGGTATAGAGAACAAATAATTTTTTCTGATATTTTTTAACACCTCTGATGAACTGATAGCAATTAGCTCTCAGTTCATCAGTGGTGTAATCATTATGTCCAACTTACATTTTACTTCTGAAGATATAATAAATAAAGTCAATAAAAGAAATTATTTAAGTTATATTATTTTATTTCTAATTTTCCATATAACAACAAAGACTAATTTCTTTGTAACAACAAAACTAATTATATTAATGATATATTATTATAAAAACTTATGTTTTACTAAATGAGCTAGTACTAAAGTAAGTTATAAACATAATATTTTTAGGTCTGAAAGTTATAATTTATTAAAAATATATCAGTCATATTCAATAAAGCATAAGTGATTAAAACATATATTTAAAACTATTAATTTTTGCTAAAAAACTAATACTCAACAATCAAAATATTAATTTTAACAAGTTTGCATAAGATTTCAAATGAAATGAACAAAATCATATTAAAAATATGTTAAACTTACAATAAGGATGAAAGCAACCTAAAATCTCAAGCTTTAAACTTATCCAGTTATTCCATCTTTTTGGTATTATTCTTATGTATTGGGCTCGAAGCATTTGAGGCAGATAAGCAGTTGTTTTAGTAACACTATCAAAATTTCCTGGAAAAATCTAATTAAATATTGATTATCTTCTTTTAATTAAAAATTCATATTTACTTTTGATTAANAGAAATTATTTAAGTTATATTATTTTATTTCTAATTTTCCATATAACAACAAAGACTAATTTCTTTGTAACAACAAAACTAATTATATTAATGATATATTATTATAAAAACTTATGTTTTACTGAATGAGCTAGTACTAAAGTAAGTTATAAACATAATATTTTTAGGTCTGAAAGTTATAATTTATTAAAAATATATCAGTCATATTCAATAAAGCAAAAGTGATTAAAACATATATTTAAAACTATTAATTTTTGCTAAAAAACTAATACTCAACAATCAAAATATTAATTTTAACAAGTTTGCATAAGATTTCAAATGAAATGAACAAAATCATATTAAAAATATGTTAAACTTACAATAAGGATGAAAGCAACCTAAAATCTCAAGCTTTAAACTTATCCAGTTATTCCATCTTTTTGGTATTATTCTTATGTATTGGGCTCGAAGCATTTGAGGCAGATAAGCAGTTGTTTTAGTAACACTATCAAAATTTCCTGGAAAAATCTAATTAAATATTGATTATCTTCTTTTAATTAAAAATTCATATTTACTTTTGATTAAAATTACATTAAAATATACCTGTGGATTTCCTTTTTCATCTAATATTGAATTCCAATTCGTTCCATCATTACTGTAAGATACTGAATAAGCAGTTACCCATTGTTCAATGTCTTCTCGTCCTTGAGTAACAACTGCTGATATATTTCTTGGTTCTAAGAAATTGATCTAAGAAATATTAAGATTTAAACTAAGTAAATGCAATGTATTTATTTAATTAAAATGAAGTGTTTCTACCTATATTAGAGTGAAATACATTTCAAATCCTTTTAACCATTTTAATTTGGAGATGAAAGTTTTCATCTCCAGTAACCTTATGAATATTGTTATATAAAACAAAAAATTTTCAAAAAAAAATTATTGATTAACAAGAGAATAATTTTTTATTTTCTAAATGTTTACTGATACAAATACTATCATGAATATACTATATGATAACTGTATATTTCTGTCAATAAAACGATAGTTGAATCTTAAAAAAAGGCCCTCAAAATCTGGAGTCGTCTTATAGAACAGATACAAAAAAAATTAGATTGAAATTTATATAAATTAAAATTATTATAAAAAAACGGAAAAACCGTAATTATTTACTAGTAAAGAGTAGGGTATGTCCACAAAATAGAACAGCTCATAAGACATTTTTGTGAATAGGCAAGGTCATTACTCGAATGCCTGAATCAGTGCAAATGTTTGTAACAATAGCAAGGCAATGCTGCCAGATGCAAGAAAATAAAATTTGTTCATTCGAAAAATTACAAATAGGACATAATTCCATATATGCTATACAGTATTATTATCCAGATGATGATTGTTGATCTAAACTACATTCATAGGCTGTTGATAGGTTGTTTGGGGGTTGTCTTATAGGACAGATATGTGATAAAACTAGAGCAGGAAAGCAACTATAAAGACATTGACATTACGTTTAAAAATTGACATGTTCACACCAGTATAAATAGAAAGCCAGCAATTTGTTTCCTGAACAGTATATTCCTGCTAACTCACACAATCCCATAGGAATAAACTACCAGTTTTTAGAATTTTCATCAAACATGCATATTTATTCAATGATGAAAATTTATACCTTGTCTTATCTATGGAAATATATGGTATCTAATAATATCCTTAATAATTTCAAGTAAATAATATGATAAAATCCATTTCCTTATAAAGCATTATGTTTTTGAGTAAAATAAAAATATGTTAATGATAATTTTAAATAAATACACAAAATTAAATTGTATGTTCTTCAGAACTTAGCATAAAGTTGCTATTGAGAACAAATCATACAGGAACACTCCTTTTGATGGAAAAAGTATCAATAGATTTATTTTTTACAATTTAGAATGGATATGCATTTCAGGTTCCAGCCCTTCTTCAGTCCATATTTTGTTATGTACATTGGTAAAACTATATAAGAAATTACACTATATACAAAACTTTATAAGAAATTTATAGAAAATTTGATTATATCCCAATAATTTTTGAAAACATCCAAAAAATATTAACACCATATAATATTATTCTAGCCTCCATACTGAACAACAAAATTAAAAAATCAATTAATAGTAAGATAGATGTATTTAAAAATTTTTGTGAGTTACATGTATATTAAATATAATTAAATATATTCTGTTATTTCTTATATAGTTTTACTGATATACATAATAGTATTATGTCATTTCATAGTTTCTAACAAATTTAAGATAAGATTTATTCCTATAAAAATATAAATTATAGAATAACTTTAAATAAGATTTATAATTTAATTTTAACTTAATTTTTATAAACTGTTAGGCAAATGGTGCAAAAAAGTTGCATAAAGTAACTAAAATATTCTCAATATAATGGAATGGAATGCACAAAGAATGATAGGATTAAAATTGTTTCACAATAACAATGGAGATATTTTATTAAATAATTTCCAAAAGTCATTAAAGAACTTCAAATTAAAACAGTACAAAAATGTGATCTAAAAATTATATTGGTATTATATATTGGTAAAATGTCATCTCATGATTATGATTAAATAATAAGTAATTTAATCAAATACTGATAGTTTGAAGTCAATCATAACAGAATATATTTGCACTTTAGGTAGAATTATGGATTCCAATCCCATTCTAAGCAGACATTTTTCACACATCAAAATAAATATCAACTTCCCAAAACCCAATGAATTGATACTAAGCCATCAAAATTTAAATAATATATATTCATTAATTATTAATGATATTGGCAAATAGTAACAAACCTATCTGTATTAAAAATTTTATAAACATCATATTCAGTCCAAACCTGTAGGTTTTTTGTAATCTTCAAAAAATATTAAAATAATTATGAAATTTCTTACATCATTGTTGTCTATTTTTTAAGAACATCAGAACTTTCAGTTTATTTCAGGTAATTGTTCAATATTTTTCACCATTTTAAAAATATTCATATGTAAAATAATCATTTCCCGTGAAGTAAGTATATCTTTAAGAATGGATACGGTTATCAAAATGCTACTGTTTTTTCAACTCAGTTAATGAACCATCCTCAAGTGTGGGCAGATTAAAGTGAAATGCCAGTGTTAGATAGGAAAGAATCATCTTTTCTATACAATAGAGATAAGCAAAAGTAGGTAAATATGAAGGCAGTAAAGATGATGAAAAGACTAAAGAGAAATTACCAGGTAGGTTAGAAAGTCCTAGCTGTATTTTAAACCTAAAAGGACTGGAAGACAAACAAAACATAATATTAGAACAATTATTAACACAATCCACTATGTGATGAAAACAGGCTTTCAATGGAGACAATTACCCAATGATTTTCCGCCACGGAAAACCATATATAGCTACAATTCACGCTTAAAAAAAAGTGAAATATTGCAAGAAATTCACGACTTTCTAGTAAAAAAAGTGAGAAGGATAATTGGTAACAATGAAACTCTATCAATAGGAATAATTGATAGCCAATCAGTCAAAACCTCTCAAAAAGGGGGTCTAGAGGATACGACCCTGGCAAAAAAATAAAAGGTAGAAAACGCCACATTATTGTGGATACTGTAGGTCTTATAATCACTGCTGAAATGCATGCTGTTTACACATGTATTGTATTGCTTTGTTATAAATTTCACACTTTTCTACAATGCTGGAATAAGACAGATAAAAGACAGTTGATTCAGCTGCCTGTCAATCTATCTCAGTACCAGAAAATTGAGTAAATAAAGATAAAACTGTAGAAGACAATGAAGACAATGAGTCATTCCATGTCAAGTGATCAAGATCTCCAGCTTGATCCCCTCAGATTTCAATGAAATTTGGCACAAAGGTAGATAAGGACCTTAAACTACACAATGCAAAATATTAGTTCCATACATTGCATGGTTTCTGAGATATATGCCAAAAAAAATACCTCATGCCACTTCTGCATATGCAGTGATTAAACAACCAACTTTGATGTCCAATGGACTTTTGAATAAGAGCAATTACATTATGAAACTTGGTAGCACAAGAGAGTTTCAAGTGGACAATCTAGATGTGTTAACAAAAACTTCTAAAGAAATGTACTCTATTCACAAATGTTCACCAAAGTTCAAGTAAAATTCATTCTCATGAAATTGAAGCCATATTTCAATTTCAAAGTTTGCCTGTAAAATTCTTTTACAGCCAAACTTTGGATTTTAAAACTGTGTAAGAAAATAATTATTTGTGTAAAATTTTAAGCATATAGCTGTTATAGTTTTACAAATATGCCCACTAAAACATGCAAAAAAAATTTTGAGACTCAGTTTTTACCAATATTCAGAAGAAAATATTGCCATGTAGGGTCTCTTAAATTACATTTTGTTTACTGCATTAGGAAAAGCATTTTTCCTTCTATTGAAATATATTGTTTTGAATTTTTCTTGACTCTGCTAAGGGCAGAAATGCATTAAACATAGTGATATCAAAATAAAAGCTTGATTGCACAAAACAAAAGCCACACTTTGATAAGTAATAACTTTAGAACTATACAAGACTATGGAATACAACTTTGCCTGTTAGCTCACCATATGGTTGTCATTATGTAATTCAATTAAAAGATCTTGAGATTAATTCTGTGAAAGTTTCTCCATGGCATTTGCTGGTCCTAACTGTAGAGAATCTTTCACAAAACTGTGGCTGTTTTTGGAACCTTAGAACTCTACTCATATACCCATGTGCAACTCATCCTTACTGTTTCTGCATGTGCCAATGGATGTTGATTTATTTTTGTCAAAACTTTGATAACACTACATCATTCTTGCTTTGTGTACTGCTGAAGAGTTGCCACCATTTTATAGATCTATTGTCTTATGTTCTCATGCATTAATAGTATTGCCAGTCACAGTTAGTGTTGTCTCTGACTTGGAAGTTTTATATGTCAAAATTATTATGCTATTATAACTATCTCCTTCTCAAATTACTGGAGTAATTAAATACAAACAAAACCTTTTTAACCAGTAACAGAACTTTAATGCAACTTCTTAGCATTTTCAGCCTTCACCAAGGCCTACCTCAGGTTTTTAATTAAACTGACTTCCAAACTGGAATGTTAGAACAATGATGTTCGAAAAATCAATTTTAAATTTTTGAATATGACAAAATCCATACGATTGACTTTGCTCAAATCTTTCATACAGGTACTTCCACACATGTGCCACTGTATCACAGTCCTTAAAAGTTAATATAGTTGCTATTCAAGTTGGCTTTATATATTTCCAAAGCCTCCAGGCTATGAATATGGTCTGTTTGAAAGGCTTGCTTAATTAATCTGGTGTTCTGGAGGTCTGCATATGCTTCCGGCATACATAGATAAGGCAGTGGTATGCCTCTGACCCAGAAGTACATGCAGATCTCCAGAACACCAGATTAATTAGGCAGGCCTTTCAAACAGACCTTAGCCTGGAGGCTTTGGAAATATATAAAGCCAACCTGAATAGCAACTATATTAACTTTAAGGACTGTGATACAGTGGCACATGCGTGGAAGTACCTGTATGAAAAATTTGAGCAAAGTCAATCAGCTGTATGTATTTGACATATTCGGAAATTTAAAAAATTTTTTCGATTTTTCGAACATTATTGTTCTAACATTCCAGATTGGAAGTCAGTTTAATTAAAAACCTGAGGCAGACCTTGGCAAAGGTCAAAAACGTTTGAAAGTTCAGTTAAAGTTCTGTTACTGGTTCTGTATTACTATGCTATTGCTCTTCCTCCCAACATTTAATGACATTTTTCCAGTTTTCTATTAAATGTACTGTACATCCTGTATTAAATGTTTTATAAATATTTATTTGAAATTTACTTTTAATAATATTATAAATTCTTTAAGATTTTTTAAGTTTATACTTTAATTATAATGAAACATTATTATAATGAATAGAAAATATTGAGTGACAAATGGTAGAGATAATATTGTAAATACTAAGCATAAATTCATAATATCATTTTTTTTAATATTAGAATACTTTTCTTATTTATAACTCTAGCTTTATCTTTCTATGTTATTTAAAGATGTAAAAGTTACTGGGTATTGTTTTTTTCTTTTTATTTTATTTTTTTCATTAAAAAGTTTCAGGTTAATGTTTAAGCTTACTTGTAAATATTGGTTATCATCTAACTTTCCAGCAACCCAACTGTTTTGACCAATTCGAGCATCTTCTGCACCATGGTTCCAATCATGAAATGATGAAGATGACAACTGAGCATTATTTAATAATCCATTTTCTAAACCCATTGGTTCAAGACATTCTATTAAAAAAATAATAAATAAATAAAAATATCGGGGAATGGCCGAGTAACTACGAATATGTACTCACTCTGGTATGATCCAAACTCTGGATTTGAATCCAGTTTTATTTATATGTCACCTGTCATGCAACAAGATTTATCAGCTAGCACGTAGGATGTCAATGAAGAGTCATGTGGTACGCACGGATGAGAAAATTGGATATAATTATTCATATTTTATTTCTTTACTCGCAATTATCCCTTTATTATTATTATTATTATTATTCGCCAATAAGCCACTTTTCGTCTAAGAAGTGATCAATCTTAAACAATTCACGAACTCGTGATATATGCAACCCGATTTACGTGACGTTGCTATGGGAATTATTCTCTTGTGTGCTCGTGTGTTGAGTGGACGCTTTTTGGCATCCCTGAGCATCCCGATGACTAAGTGTCATCTAGATTTTTGTGGGTTGT